CTTGTATTTAGTAAAAAATAATCATATAAACTTTTTTGCGAAATGTATAGTTCTGGTGTTATGTTAGGTTTCATGACAATACAAACACTATTGTATTGACCGTTGCTAGGCGGTTGCTAGGAAAACTGTACGATTTTTTTACCAAGCTGTGCGATTTTTTTACCGTACGTAATAGGAATCTTACATTGATCGCAGACGGTGTGTTTTTAAGTATTTACAGTAGTGGTCGTAGGTAAAGTATAGTACGTAATACGTGCTGTAATGCAATTACGCACTCATAGAATTACGCTCTCGCCGCTACGCGGCGTCGTGCGTAACTTTTCCATTCGTGCGTAAAAGGCTTTTTACAACACTTATTACGTAATATACTATGATGACGTTAGTGCAGTGAAATTTTTTGTCGTTACGATAACTTCGCCACAGGTATTTGATTAATTCCCAAATTCTGCATAAAACATCTTCAGAAATATTCTGGAAAAAGCATTTTTTTTAAATTTCAACACCCTATATCCCAAAAACTCTTCATTTGACGAGTCTATGTTTATTTGCTTTAAATTACTTAAATAATACAGGCCGACAAAACAACAAAAGTTTTTGTCTTTTAGATCAGACCCGTTTTTTCCTATACAGGGTGAGTATTGTATAATTGGCATAATTGTATCTGGCATATTTTGTTACCCAAAATATGCCAGAAAACCTGAAATAACGCGCATTTGAAGGTAATTTGTGGAAAACTCTTGCGTCAGATTTTTTTCTAATCTTGAAATTCGTTTCCAGAACATCAAAATATACAGGGTGAGTCATTAGTAATGGTTCACAGCTCAATGGCAGATTGTTAACGTCAAAATATAGTGATTGAGCCAAACATGCCTTAATCAATTGTTGCTCCTTGCTACAGGGTGTTAAAGTTGAAAACATATTTTGTATTTTTGTCTATATTTTAAGTATGTATGGACCTACTGTTTTGAGAATTTGTAGTTTTACGTTTTTTGAGGAGGCAAATACGAATATGCAAACATTGTTGGGGTAACATCTAGAGGACCCCTAGTTATACTGTCCTATCAATATAAAAATCTGTCTAACTTTTTATATTTTACAATTTTGAATTTTTTAACTACAAATTCTTGAACTACGTTCAATTCTAAATGAAAAAGGTATGTTAGTTACAAATCGATAAACTAAACCGTTTTCAAGATACAGGCGTTTTAAGTTTTTGAGATTCGGTGGGAATTAAATTAGAAAATTAGCAGGTCTTAAGATACCAAGCCTGAATTAAGAATTAAGACAAACATTACAGAATTGAAAATTTTATTATACATATCTTAACAAATTATTAACCACCAGCGGCTTCAATGCACTTTATTAGCCTTTTATTTTTTTGTATGACGTTAAATAAAGTTCTATGTTGTTTGATAATATGAATTGATTCTTGAATATTTGTTCACAGTTGTTCATGGCCATTAATAATGTTTTTGTAAACTAAACATTTAAGATATCCCCGAAAGTAAAAATCCAGTGGATTTAAAACAGGGCTACGTACAGGCCAAGGTACCTCCATACCGCGTCCAATCCAACGCAACGGTGCGGGAAATTTCTTTTAAGATATTATCTTCTCTAAAAAATAACGACAAGGAAAAACTACTTCCTAATCAAATTGAGTAGAATTAGCAGAAACACTATGGTATTGTAGTAACAGCTGTCAATTTATTATGTCAATGCCTACTACTTTGGAAAAAATAATTTTCTAATTTAATTCCCGTCGAATCTCAAAAACTTAAAACGTCTGTATCTCGAAAACATTTGATTTTATCGATTTGTAACAAGTATACCTTTTTTATTTAGAACTGAACGTAGTTCAATAATTTCTAGTTAAAAATTCAAAATTGTAAGATATAAAAAGTTAGATATATTTTTACTTTGACAGGAAAGTACAACTAGCGCCCCCTAGGCGTGACCCAACACTATTTGCAAATTCGTATTTGCCACCTCAAAAACGTAAAACTACAAATTTTTAAAACAAGAGGTTCATATATACTTAAAATATAGTAAAAAATCGAAAATATTTTTGCAATTTTAACACCGTGTAGAACGAAAAGAAACAACAATTGATTAAGGCATATTTGGTTCAATCGCTACATTTTGACGTTAACAATCTGCCATTGAGCTGTGTACCATTATTAATTACTCACCCTGTATATTTTGATGTTCTGGAAACGAATATCAAGATTAGAAAAAAATCTGACGCAAGAGTTTTCCACAAATTACCTTCAAATGCGCGATATTTCAGGTTTTCTGGCATATTTTGGGTAACCTCATGCCACTCATCAAGACCTGAGTGAGAGAATTCTGAGTATTTGACATAACAGATTGCTCATGAAAGGTTGAGGTACAGATTTCCAAGCTATGGAGAACCATCAATGGTCACTTTTATTCCTGTTCTTTCTGGGTATCCGAGACCCTGTCGCATAAGATTTCATTTCTCTTGAATCATCCATTCTAGGTTTTTTATTCTGGGAACCTGCCCATAGGTGATTCTTACAATTAGTCCCTCTGGATGAATGTTGACTCGATTGAAAATCAATCAACATTCATCCAGACCCGAGTCAGACCTCAAACCCCCAATGCCACGACAACGCATTCGCCAGCTTGAGGAGGAATAACCTATGTCATAGGTCAACGGAAATGATATCACCGAATAAAAATTGTTAGCATTGGACTGTCAAATGAACCAGAAAGTAGAGATTCGCAGACATCCAGTTCCATTGAGAAAATGGAGTTCTTGATCACCCTAGACTATTGACAGTCAATTGACAATTGATGATATATTCGTTTTCAGAACATCAAAATATATAGGAAAAACCGAGTCTGATCTAAATGACAAAAACTTTTTTTTTTGTCGGCCTGTACTTTTAATTAACACCCTGTATAGTTCGTTCCTCACTTTCACGTTGTAGTATCCTACGTCAGAGTTGTGGCAAAAGCAATTAGAAGCATTTATTTTAATAAATAAAGACATACAGAACATGTTTTAAAGTTGAATATAATCTCTGCAGCACGTGTTCATGTGCAGAACATTAACCGCACGCAGAAGGCCGTCTAACAACAAAAAGTCGATTTCACACTTTTATGCACAATGTTTCAAAGTATTTTCAGGCAGCAGCACTTATTATATTTGTTTTATGCATTATTTCACTGAATGGAGAAATGTGGTTTCAAAATCTAATCAATAAGCAATAAATAACCTACCGCTTCCCCTATCTAGAACAATCCTTCGAAAACAGATAAACATACATCATTCGTGGGATGGCACGGAGTTGTAAATAATGACTTTATTAAGACACAAGGAACAAGGAAGCGACTAGGCTCCGTTGCATACTTGACGACACTCTGGAACAAGATCTATGGCTGCGACACATCTCCAAACTGTAATGGTTTCTTTGCCTTAAAAGAAGCGAACACAAAAAGATCCTTACCGCGGACGCGGTTTTCCTCGTTAATTAGGCGTATGCCACACCGTAGGTGTCAGTTAGAGGGCTGTGAGTGTTATGTAACAAGCCAAGGGGAGCGAGTTCAGAAATAGCACGACATACGAGGCGATTTATCAAAATACGAGTATTCAGCAAGGAAAGCTTAGAGTAACCTGTGCTATGTAAAAATCCACTGAAAGAATACAAACGGAAAATTTTGATAATACTAAAGAGGCTGTAGTAAAATTTATTCCGCGATATTTTTTTAGATCAACGTCCGGAATTCGCAAAATGAACTAAACTAAAAGATACGGTGTTCGGAAAATTCATAGGAGTAGGTACCACATATACAGGGTATCCTTAAAAATGAAAGAAATGAAATTTATCCATTCGAGCCTTCCTTAAAAAGTTTACAGCCACTTTTATGTGGGGCCAAAAATAAGTTTCGTCAAACGCAACGATGAATTTCGGTATGGCCACAATTGTACTGAAATGTCAGTGTATTGATATATCTCCCGTTTTATTGGTTCTCTCAATTACACCATCTACTTCTTCGCAATTTTTCTTTTCTTTAACCAAATCGAAACAAAGAATCATGTTGGTATATGCTTAGAAATGTAAATTTACACGCGAGATCAGTTATATTCAACGTCGCAGTAGGTAATGTAAAATTAAGTCATACAGTTAAAGTTACGTTAAACATGTAATTTTACACTTTTTGTGTAATTTGTTGAAAATGTAAATTTACAGTATCGATATGTATGTACACCTAAATTGTAATTTTATTAAGAAACAGGAAAAGTACATAGTATTTTTAAGAAGAAACAAAAATCTAGACTTTATTATTTTGTAAGATAAGTGAGACACATTTTCTTCCATAAAATTGACTTCTAATTTAAAATAATTAAGTATAAGGAAAAACATTCTACATATATTTTCTGGGACAAGTTTTACTGCCGTTTTCATTTATAAGAAGATTTTTTCTGGATGAATGGATACAAGCCTGTGTTAATGAGAATGGTCGATTATTAAACTTTGTTAGATTTGAATGTATTTTTCAGTTTTAAAATTGCTTTTATTTGTTTAATATTTTATGAAATATGGCTCATTATAAAAAGTAACCAGTTGGTAGTATGTTACATATATAATAACACATACATATTATTAATACATATTATTAATTATTATTAGCGCAAAAAACAGAAATCATTGATTTATACACAACAATTTTGTAATACCAATAATTAGAATCGATCAAAATAACATAAGCCTTACTATCAAAAAGATGCTTCCAATAAAAAAAATTAAAAAAATTGTTACCTTTTCGTTTTGGAAAACAGCATTTGGTTTAATTTCCATTTTATACTACTCAAAATAACAAGAATATAAGGTGTGACACTGGTGTACCAGGAATATATTTATTTAAACAATAAAAATTTTTAAATTTTTTTCGTATATACCTAGACAACGCCCCAAAAATTTCTTAGAATCAAAGGTTTAAGTAAAAATAGTGAAGCTGTTAAAAATACATACCCTCCTTCCAGCTTCGTTGTTGTGTAAATTCATAAGTAATCTACCCTGTTCTCGTGTGCCTCTTTTAAATTTTCTCTCCTTTTCTCGCACATCGACAAAATTCTGAGAGAATCTGAAACAATAAGTATATAGAAAATCACTTACCAAAAAATTTATATAATAGAAGAATGTATAAAAATCGCATACATTCTTTGCAGGGTCAAACATTTTAAAATGTTTGAAGTAGGTAGGTATTCATATATATAAACTATGTTATTTCTGTCACGGAATAATTTAAGCAAAACAGAGGAGGAAATAGGTATATCTATATAGTTTTTTCAAAACCTCTTACCAGCTCAGTCTCTAGTAAACAAGTGCAGTTTGCAGCTGCTTGTAATGAACTTGACCACCGTTACAGCGAGATGTTAGATGCAATCATTAGTGCAAGAAAATTTTAAGTGAAAAAACAAACATGCGTGCTGTACAGTACTATTAAAGTTTGCTCTGAGATAATTTCTAACTATGTTCTAAGATAGCAGTAGTTTGCGTTTTAATATAATTTTGACTGATTTTTCCAACTGACAAATAAATTATTTGTCAATTAAGATCTTTTTTAAGACAGATACAGATTTGGCAAATGAGTTTATTAGGAGATGGAAAAAACGGCCTTTAGTGTATTAGACAATAGATAATATAGATTTCTGGTTAAGAGATTACAATCAGAGTAATACCACTTTTCTATAGCAGTAGATTCTATAGTTTCTGTTTTTATACGCTTATTGAAATCCTTTATACATAAATGATAACTGATTACACAACTCTACATCGTATTTTTGTGAATTGAGATAATGTTTTTTAATAATGACTTACGACAATTCCGATTTTCAAGTAAAATGGCAAAATTTCTGAAACACGTCAATTTTTATTTTCAATGGGGCATATTACAAAGAGGTTTGTTTATTTTTTTGAATTATGTGGGGGTTGCAGGAATCCCCAACATTTTTTTAAAACGGAAGGGTAGGTTGATTAATTTTTTATTTTAAAGCTTTTTCAATTGCAAAAACAATTGTGTATTTTTTTGTTACTTTTTATAAGCATGTGACGGAAAAAATAAAATAAGGACATGTTTACTGAAACTTCTTTAAGATATACATCACCTGCTCAATAGTTTGTTGGTCAAATTAAAAACCAAAAACAAAATACCCTGTTTAACCGCGACGCATCGTGGAGACAGAAATCGAACACAGGCTGAAGCCGCTCGGTTGTTTGCTGAAGTTCATACAGAAATGCTTCCAATTAATCGAAGAAGGATTAACAAAACCGAAACTCGATATCGGATATCGTTGGGCCACGTGAGGGATGCTCCTCGACAAAGGCCTTTAAAAATCGAGGAAGAAATCCAGTTGAACATGTTACTCTTATTCCCGCTAGGCAAATAGCTCCTATTCAGGGTGTAAGTCACACAAGCGTTTTAAAAATTCTAATAGAAGCCAAAAAGCATCCGTATAAGATGCAAAACCTGCACGAGCTTATTGAAGATGATCGTGATTCGACTTTTGCGAACGAATTATGGCTTCTAGCTATGGTGGGCAGATTGCTTTGGAATAGTTACTGTTTTCTGATGACACAACTGCCGTTAATGGGCTGATTAAAATCCCCACTGGATGCGTGAATGCCATACTCAAAGGTCTCAAAAAACAAACGTCTGGGCTGGAATTATTGGGGATCGCATAGTAGGTCTTGTCTTTTTCAATGAAAATGTAAACGGAAAAACATGTTCCAAGACGAACTGGTTCCTGCTTTAGCGGTTTTATTTCCCAATAATTTGCATCCCGATTTATTTGACTAACAGATATAGTTTCAAGAAGGGGCACTACCACATTTTGCGCAAAATGTACTGACCTATCTCAACGAAGTGTTTCTGAATAGATGGATTGGAAGAAGGGGCCCAATTGAGTGGCCAGCAAGATCATCCTATCTTATCACATTAGATTTTTTTATGAGGATATCTAAAGGGAATCTAAAGAGAGTATAGTTTATGCTACTGAACCCAACGACATTGCTGAACTTCAACAAAGAATCAAGGATGAAATTAGGCAAGTAACTCCAGAAGTGTTACAAACTGTTCGGAATGCTTATTATCGATTAGGGCAGGGGTCGGCAAGTAATTTTAGGTGGGGTCCGGATACTTCATGAAAATTTTTAAGGAGGTCCAGAAATAAAATTCTAATTAATTTTTTATTTTAATTTGGACTCAAATTTAATCTGCTTACTGACCATTAAGACCTCAAATCAGTCACACAATTGTAAAGTACTAGAAAAAATGATAAGGGTGACACTTAAACGTAAAAAAATATTTTTTTAATAATCTGTTGGAGTAATTTGTACTATAAAAAAAATTTTTGGCGGTCCAGTATTTTACCTTCGGCGGTCCGGACCTGGACCGCGGTCCGCCAGTTGCCGACCCCTGTTCTAGACCAAGGTCACGTCAGGGTTATCGACCTCTGACCGTCTGGGGCCAAGGTCACGCCAAGGTCATCGCCCGTAGGTTGTTTGGGGTCAAGGTCATGCCAAGGTCATCGGCATCAGGACGTCTGTAGGCAAGGGCACGTCAAGGTCATGACCTCTGGTCGTCTGGGGTCAAGGTCATGACCTCTGGTCGTCTGGGTCAAGGACACGTCAAGGTCAAGTCAAATCATCGACCTCTGTCGTATGTGGTCAAGGTCACGCCAAGGTCATGTCAAGGTCAATACCTCTGGTCGTCTTGGGCCAAGGTCGCGTCAAGGTCATGTCAAGGTCATCGACCTCTGGTCGTCTAAGGTCAAGATTTCTACAGGTCCAGACTTGTTTTCTACTGGTTCAGACCTGTTTTCCACAGGTTCAGACTTGCTTTCTAGTATAAACTGTAACCTGATATATTATTTCCTTTATAATTGTAGTGTTAACAAAAATTCAAAATTCAAATTCAATTCAAACATAGCATGAGCCTCTTTAGCTCAGTGGTAGAGCACTGGTCTTGGAAACCGGAGGTCGTGAGTTCAAATCTCACAGGAGGCAATTAAATTTTTTTTTCTAAAATGTCAGGTGTGGGATTCGAACCCACGCTCCCGTTAGGGAACCAAGGCTTAAACAAGGCGCCTTAACCACTCGGCCAACCTGACTCGATAGGTATATGAAAAAGAAACGAGAAAAAAAACATAACAACGAAATTTCAGCAATTATCGAGGAGTTAAAGGAGGCTAGAATAATATCTTAAGCCGTCACATCATCACGCGAAACTGGATAAC